ACGCACGTACGCCATCACCCAACTTGTCTCGCTGCCCTCATTTACGCGAGGCCCAGCATTGCGCGCCTAAGCATGCTGCTCTGCCGGCCTAGTTTATATCATGCTGTCATGTGTGCACAACTGCCACTGCCTTTGGATGCGTCTTCCGAATAGAGACGAACTACGGACATGACTGGAAGGGTTCTGCTGGCGACATCTTGGGTTCCAGTTTCCTATAGACTCGCAAGCAGTTCGCCTCTGCTCCACGTCCGAGCGTTTTGTGAGACGGTACTGGGATGATACTTCAACTGTTCCTCCTGTTCTTATAGAGAAATAACGTAATTCACTAGCAACTTGCATAAACCATTATAACTTAATCAAATAATTCTTCCATTAGTAGCATGTTGTGACCAGGAGACATTGCGTGCCAAAATAGTGGACTGAATTGTTGCTCTAATTCCGCATATAACTACAGCATGTTCATGAGTAGGCTTTCTCTTAAAACAGCCACTGCTTAATTTTGCGTCTCCGGGTCTTTGCTCGATGTGTCCGTTTGGTGCGTTTGGTTTCTCTTGTTCATTGTGTTGACGGTACTCCTGGATGTATTCTGGGAGAGGGAACAGATTCCAAATGAATGGTTTGAGTTAGTCGTCCACCCGTTTTACACGAAAGGTGATACGTCCTGTAGCAAAAACACAGATAAATGACTATAATCAACATTGTCTCTTCTCACCATCATTATGCTCCGTCTACCGCACGTGAATATTTAACCAATGAGAACCAGACTGGTTTTAGACTCACTGTAGGTCGCATCGACCATATTTTCATCCTTCAACAAATTGTAGAAAAAAGACAGCTCTTCCGTAGAAAATGACCACTTCTATCTTCCTCGATATGAAGCGGCGTTCGATTCAGTCGACTGCTCTTTACTGCCTTTTCCTGAACGGTGTATCCCAAATGATTCTTTCAGCATTACGATCTTTTCTTTCTAAGTCGAGTATGAGCTTGCGGCTCTTTTTTCTTCGAGTTCAAGGTGAAGAGTGAAGTTCACCAGAGTTTCTTCCTTTGGTTTTCCATTAAACTTGATTCTGGAAACACCCCTGTCCTAGAGTGAGGAAAGCGACATCGATTTCCTCTCGGCTGAGGTTATTTTGTCTGGAGTATATACCAGACGTTACATTGTGGACCTAGACAAATTATAACTACGTTCTGTTTGCGTTTTGCATCCTCAAAGCGTAAAATGTTGCTCAGTTGGTTCGGCTCCAAACCTCACACTAATTGGAAAGCAACGGAGAAAGCGGATAAATTTTGCTATTTGGGCAGCTCAGTGTCATCCGGTGGACACGCATAAGAAAGCTAGGGTTGGTATTTGTCAGTTTTCTGCATCTACGGCCCCGTCGTGACATCCCAATTGACTGTGAAGGAACGAGTACATACTGAAACAGTTCGGCCAGTCCATTACGAGAGTATGATAAAATAAATATTCGGTGTTCGAACACCCCTGTCTACACCGCATTGCACGAATCCGGTGAGAAAACTGAGAAAACGTGCAATACTGAAGTTAGGAGCGGAGTTTTAGGTAACTGCAGTCGCCCACTAGGATAACTAGTTAACCTCCATAGATTACGTCGGTTGCGGTATGTGTTACGCATGTCACCAAATATCTTGACGCGACGTACGATTTTCGCTGAATCAGGTGATTTGTTGTAAATAGTCAACGGTGGCCAAACCATGGCATGCTACCAGAATATGGAAATCTTAAGCAGTAGATTCAATCGTATGGTTCGCGTTAGGTTTTCTGGGTGGGGACCCCGGGTTCAGGTAAGGACATTGTTCGATATGACTAGGTATCAAAAACATTGGCGATCGCGCATCTGCTCCGTATACCTACAACACTAATTTTCATGAATAATCTATTTTACCTTTTTCATTTCTATTTCCTTTTATGGAATAATAGTGATAAATTTTTTGAGTATCAAGCTTGGATTAGCCCATTCTATTTTTTAGAGGCACCAGGCACTCTTGATGGTGTGAGTTTCACTCCTTGGGAGATCGCTAATTCCCCACGAATTAATGCATTGAAATGCGGTGGAAATGTTTGTGATAACCAACAAGGAGCACTGGACAGCTCTTTCGTCCTGTTCGGGACTCGTCAGCAGTGCGTACCTTTTGTGTCCCTGTCAGGACTCGAACCAAGCTAGATGCTCAAAAATTGATTGAGCCATTGAGCCATTCGCACAAGGTGATAACCGTCGATCGTGTAGCTCAAGGGTAAGGGGTCTGAAGCCCCAGCCCGGAGAATCGTGTTTCGAGTCCTGACAGGGACACAAAAAGTACGCACTGCTGACGAGTCCCAAACAGGACGAAACAGATGTCCACCAATGAAACAATTTTTAGAAAGAGGGAGGCGACCAATCAAACGGTTGTCATACAACAAGCAATGGGGAATGTCAGGCGGCGGCGGTGTTCGGGAGATTCGAACACACGTCCTCCGGGATGATAATTTGGTGAGTACCACTGAATCACCGTTGAAACACTCAGCAGTCCAATCTGCTCTCTAATCTTTCACCCAAGCAGGCAACCAAAACCGCCGCACGAAGGTGCATGGATAATGGTTGTAGAGACTGAATTGAACTTTAACTAACCGACGAATCCCGGGGTTAAAGTGCAATATGACAACTATCATCAGTCATCTTTTGTTCAAGCTGACGTCTCCAGTCTTTTCAAAACTATATACTTACGTGTCCCTGAGATTCAAATGAAGATGTCCATCTTCCCCCAGTTAGTTAAGCCTGTTGTGTTTGGTCTAGGGGTACGAATGACACGAGTGACTCTTGCTTAAACCCCAACGACAACGCGGAGAGAGAACACAGGTTGAGACCACAGTCAGCGTGTGTTCTTGGATA